CAAGCTGAGGGAGCTGGCTCTGAGCCTGACACCTGCCATCCCTAACTAAAGTAAAGGGCCCTGGAATCCCCAGCCAGCTCTAAGGTTCGAGAGGTAGGAAAGGAAGAATATACAAGAAGGGTGCGAAAGACTTACCCAATCTCCCCACTTCCCTTCCCAGTCCAGAGTGTCTTTTTTTCATGTTCTGTCAAGACAGAGGGATGGGCTCCATCACCAAGTCCTCCAGTCTCACTTCTAGCAACAGAGCTAGGACTCCACACTTCACTTACAACAAAGCAGCGAGGATACAGGCGCTACAGAGACATCTTCATGTGGGTTTTGACAGAATTTCTGGAGAGGCAGGGGGACATCCATCCCTCCTCCAATGATGGGCCCCTTCTTTCTAATTGTCCCCTGACCACAGAGGCCCACCCTGGGGCCTCTTTCCCATGGCGCCAGAAGAGGATGGCACCCCATACCCGCCACACACAGCTGCCAAGTGCATTCTCCTGTGCTCCAGCCTCAGGGGCTCTGCTTCCCCTAAAACAGGGAACCCTCTCATCTAGTGACTCATCTAGAGAAAAGACATATTTCAGAGAACAAAATCAATAAATGGGTGCAGGAATGAGGGAGGTAATGTGATGTGAACTTAAGGAATTTCTCTAGAAGCTAATCCTTGACGAAGGCCCCAGTTACAAAGAAAGAAGTCACACTCCACACACTCAGCTCGCAGCCCCAGTGGTGACACGCAGGGAAGCCCGGAGGTGTGCAGCACAGGAACAAGTCCTACCAGAAAAGACAACATGCGGACTCCAGTTCTCTCGCCCCACATGAGAACTGCCCCTCAGCATGCCCGTCTACACACCTGGGGTTTTACCCCCGAGACAGGTAAGCCAAAGAGCACGCGGAGATGCTCCAGAGCCTGAACATTTCACGTCCACAGGGACAGCGCCTCGGGTTACTGCGCAGAGATGCAGCCCAACGCTCAGCATCTACCTGTGGGGCCACCAGCCCTGGGGGGCAGGCAGGGAGACAGGACACAACCGCCATCTCTACTTGCCTTGGGCAAGAACAGCACCTAGTTCTCAGGACAGGCAGGACAAGGCCTTCTGCAGGTCCACAGATGAGCGCCCGGCTTCTCAAGGGCACCATACGATGCAAGAGACTGGGTTCAGGCAGCACACCAGACCAGGAACGGGGCGGGTGTCTAAGCAGAGTGAGCAACAATCTGGGTCTCCGGGCAAAATCATAGACTGTGCTGTCTTTCAAGGATGTGGCAGAACCAAAACACCCAAGAACACCCGCATACACAGTCTTTCACCTCCAAGAAGTCTCCGGCTACCAGTCTCCAGCACCCCTCCTCCACACCTACCAGACGGGAGAAAAGGTAGCCAAGAGAGAAAAGAGGACTGCCGTGGGAAACCATGCCTGGAATCAAGGACTTAAAGCCATTGGCCCACACCAGGGTCCGTGGCTCTCAGCCAAAGGGGCCTGACTGAACCAAAACAGAGGAGTCTTTTCTCCTGTCTGCACTCTCAAAGGCATGGGCAAAGCCAAAGCCCTCCTACATTGCCCCAACCCTCTGGAAAAAACTCCATGATCCTAGACATTTCCCATCCGGCCGCTGCCCACCTCACGCTCTGTGTTCCATGCCTTTTTACGAACTGTTTTGTCCGCTCGGAGCCTCTGTTTCCCGCTTTGCGCACCTAGGGCCTGTAACGCATCCTTTCTGTTCAGCACCCTCCTCTTCTATGAAGCTGGCCCCAAACGCTCAGGTACGAGAGGAAGTCTACTCTTTGGGCCATCCCTGGGTACAGCACACACCACACTGGCCCTTTCAGTCTATGCCATCAGGTCATGTGCCCAGCACATCTGCCTCCTCTCCAGGCAGACTTCCTGCCTGTGCTCCTGGGGCCTGGGGCTGGGGCAAAACTATGAGCCAGCACGCTGCGGCCTGGACACAAGAAGTCACCTCAGGTGCAAGCAAGGCAGGGTGGCAGGGGCCTAGGTAGCAGCAGCAGAGGAGAGCCCCTCAACACTATCCAGTGTTCTAGCCCAAGCCTGCTGTTCTTGGGTAGAGTCACCCATCACATGTCAGGACGCTGCCGCCACCGGGATGATGTTACAGTCTATTTTGAGGGTCACACTGGAGCATCTGTCAGCCTGGCCAGCCACACCCTCCATGTGTCATCACTAAGAGCTGGAGACACCCACAGGTCCACGAACTCTGGTTGAGCAAATCTCCCTTTGAGACCTTGAGCTTCAGGGCCTCCTTGGCGTCTTAGCGAGATCAACACAAGATGGTCCTTATCTCCTGGCACCACCAGCCAGGCTCTGACATCTCTATACCCCACCAGATCTGCTTCTGGGGTTCCCAGCTCTGATGACTCAGCAAAAAGCAGCTAAAGCCCATCCATCTGTGCCAAGCTCTTAGCACAAGCACAGCCCTACCTTCTCTCGCTCTCTCTTATATTGGGAAGTTACCAAAAAGGCCAGTCCCCTGGTCAAGCTAGATACCAACCAGACTCAAGTGGATCGAAGCTGGCTTTAGCTGTGCTCTCCCTCCACCTAGCACAGGCTTGGCACATAGTCGGTTTAGAGATAGTCTATGAACCCTGAAATGGAAATTTCAAATTACACTCAGTGTAGTCTTCTACAAAAGACACTGTCAGAACAAGTCTTCTGGAAAACAATGACACTGACAACTGGGCTCATAAACACCTTTCACAAAAGAGGCCCATATGAAATCTACAATCTACAGAGACAAGTCTACAGATTGAGTGGGATGGTAAGTTAGCCAATCAAGCCTAGCCCAGAGCACAACATACTTCTCTGGCCCCACTTAGCACTAGGCACCTTTCAGCTCTGTCCCCCAAGAATACAGTGTCCCCCTAAGAATCCACCCAGACATTCCTTTCCTCTACTCAGGGAAGGAATGCAATGGGGAAAGGCGGCGGCAGCACGGAAAGACGCATCTGGGACCAGGCATGTGCATCTGACAGGTTAGGTTACTTTACTGCACACCCTAAGCCCTGCAGCCAGGGCAGGTCACCAAATATCCCCAGGGCTGAAGGCTCACTCACAAAACAGGTACATCATCATCTACTCAATCACCCTCAGAGATGCCATGAAACAACCAGATAGTACAGGAAAGCTACACAACCGGTTAACACCTGGGTTATGGACCAAGCCCAGGTCAGAAACACACCCCCAATATCAACAGGAAACAAGCTGATCAACGTCTGCCCTGTAACTGCCCTTGGCCTCCTCAAAAACACACCTGGTCCCCACAACATCTGGCTACCTCCTGGTCATAAGAAGGTGGTCATATATTCCAAAAAGAGGATGCGAGAGGCTATGTATTTACCATCTGACAGTGGTCGACCGAAGCAGGCCATCACAGGCCCACAGGACCAGGGAACTTTTTAAAATTAAGAGTTCCAGGTCAGTTTAATGCCTAAATTCACTACATGTAAAAGTGCGGGGAATGGAGGTTGGGAGAAGATGCCCCAATTCTTTAGACTTGGAGGCAACATCTACAGTAAAGCAATCTAAACAAGACACGGGGACCTTTTCCAGCAAGATCCACTTACAACTGAAGTGTTGAAAGTAGATGGAGAAATCCAGATCACTATGCTAAACACTCTCCTTTTGAAAGGCTTTTTTCTCACTAGCTCAACTGTCATCTATGATAAGGACCATCCAGAAAACAATCCATTTTCCTCACTTCAAGCTTGAAAAACGACCCTTCAGTTTCTTGAGCAATAGGACACTAAAGCATCAACAATGCAGCAACACTGTAACTATTTTTGCATTGTTTGTTTTGTTTTAAGAGGCCCTTCTCATTCACCCTAGTTCAAGCACATCAAATATGAGTGCTTATGAGATTGTGGAAAGGGAAAATAGGAGGAGCTTTTAAGTCCCTTCAGTAATTTTAAGTTTCCTATCTGTAAATGCACTAGAGGAAAAAAATGAAAGATGCAACGTTGTGTCACAGGATTCTGGGGTTAAGGGCAGCTGAGATGCTGGTCTATCGCTGCAAAGTCCCATGATCTACCCACGACCACACAGTCCTCCCAGGCAGGGCTACTATAACACCACTGAGGAAAAAGGCAGAGCTGGGAGGCACAGCCATTTGGCACCTTACATGCATCACAAGGGGGAGCCGTTCTTAGGAGAGAGTAAGGATTCTGAAAACTCCAAAACACACACGGTGTTGACACAAAGATAACTTGGGGGGAGCGGGGGGAGGAGGGCTGGCAAAATTCCCGTCTGCCCAAGGCAGCTGCAATCATGCTATTTCATAACTTATATACCTGCTTTGTCACAATCACTGGGTAAAAAGGGAGAAAGGGAGAAAAACAAAAACAAAAATTCTCCCCTGATTTCCTGTGTCTGCTTAGATGACCCTAAAATAGGGATCCTCCCTAATGCCGACTTTAATGAGGACCTTCCTAAAGCTGGTCCAACTGGTGTTGAAGTCCTGGACTGAAAAACAAGTTTATGAGTAGCAAGGTCACCTGATTCTGACCATGTGCATGCTGTTTACTCTGAGATGACAGACCAGTAGCTGCCATAGCTTTGATGAATGCTGCAAAGACTCTACTAGCCCTTTGAAGCCTCTATATGACTAAAGGCCATAAAAAGTAACCCTGGATGCAAGAAGAGTGTGAAAAGGAGGAAACTCACAGACACCACAAATAAGTGGAGGAAATCCCATTGTGGAAGAACACTGAATTGTTAGTGTAAATTTGTTTCCTGACCTGGGAGGTATTTCATTACATCAATAAAGAAAGAAGGTCTCTCCTTCTCCTGCAGTGCACCTACTTGCCATCAAGGGCTGCTACTCTGACTGGGACATAACCACAGTCAGGTAACAGACATAGTCCACTATTCAACCCTCTGCAGCACAGATCCATGTGGCTCAGATGCTCAATAGACCTAGAACTCCGACCACAGGTGTCAAAGTCAGCTCCAGAGACCAGCTCCATGTTGGGGGGGAAAAAGGAGGGACAACTTACCCATCTCTTCCTTTGCTGACAATCTTCACCTCAAAGTAATAAATGCCACAGGCAGCAGGTATAGGGTGGGTGGCACGCACTGAGGCTGCATCTTTGTGATTTTTGCCATGACCTAATAGAAGAAAGCAAGGAAAAACTATCAGCAGAAGGGAAAAAAAATGGAAGTCTCATTCTTCTCTGCTCCATGGCAACTTCACCCCTCCATAGCCAGAGGAAGACTTTACATAGTCCAGGGAATAATTAGACAACTGAACAAACATATATACCTCCCACCTTTGGCTCACCTCCTCCAGAGAACAGCAGCCCTGCAAGAGACACTATCTCCCATGCAAACCAAATGGGGCTGCAGGCAATGTGGGTGCATGTGAGAGGTTCCCGAGTGCTGCTGGCAGTCTCTCCAGAATATAGGCAGCCCACCTGGGAGACCAGGGTAGGAGGAGGTAGTCCCGAAAGACTCCACCCACCCCTTCCCACCTTTAGCACGGAACACTAGGCCCAGTCCGGGATATCTGGCAAGTGCCCAAGCCCATGGATGTCTGGCTAATGGAGAGAATGCGACCCCTCTTTCGTCAGATAGTACCCAAACTAAGCAGTGGTGTAGAGCCCAGCTGGAGTTGGAGTTACCCCAGAACGAGCAGGAAGGCCCGCGGGGTAGAAAATCCAGCTCAGCACCGGGTTTGGACACCTGTTGCAGTTCTCCTGACATCGGGTGTCTCAGGGCAGAGCAGACTAGACAATCAGTCCTTGGCCTGGTGGGGTTCCACCACCCTGGACACCCCGCAGGAGCTAAGGCCTAACCCAGAGCACCCCGGCCGGGGAAGAGAGGTGATGGGGCAGGCGCCTGAGCAGCACAGACGCCCCGCAGATGCTCTGGCCTTTCCTCCACCCCGGGGCTAAACAGGCCCATACCTTTGTAGTGGACGCGGAGGTTGCCCTGGGAGAGGCCGATGTAGTTGTACTTGTCCTTGGGGCTCCAGGAGCGCGGCAGCGGCGTCTCATGCTGGTTGACTGCGGGGTACAGGCGCTGCAGGCGCCGGCTCAGCTCCTGCTCCCCCGGGGAAGGCAGCCCGCCCCCAGCACCCCCGCCGGAGGAGTCTCCAGCCTGCGGGCTCCCAGCTCCCGGGTCCGCCGTCGCCGCCGCCATCTTGGAGGGAGCTGCTATTGTGTCACTGGGGGCGGGGAGGAGCGGGACCAGATCCGCCCCGCTCAGCCAATGGCCCGCGAGCCAACCAGGGCCGCAGGGAAACCGAGTCCGAGTCCGGCACCTCTCTTTGGACATTACCACGCCTCGCCACATTTCCGACTCCATATCCCATAATGCAGAGCTCGCCAGAGGCGGACCAAGGCGGGCCGGCAAGGAACCTTGGGAGATGTAGTCCAAATCTGCCCAGTCACAAGCCTACACAGCCAGACATAGAGACACCGAAAACTACAATTCCCACTGGCAATACGGCTCCAGCCTCTCAGTCCACCTCCCTCCCCCACAGCCTCTGCTTGTCCCCCTGCCTCAGTTCTGGTAGCTGGGGTCAAATCCGTTGTAGGGACTGACTCTGAGGGGACCTCGCACTAGGATCGACGTCCTTCTTTGCTACTTGGCCTTACTCCCAGCCCGCGCTGACTGGGGTCGGGGGCGTGGCGCAGCCCTGACTCCGCCCTCACCACCAGGCTGCTGGGGCCTGGTCGCCATGACGACGAGCTGTACACTACCACAGCTTTCCGGGCTGTGAGTGCTGGCTGCCCGACTGCCTGAGAGATATGGCCTCCCTGAAGCCAAAGACGCGGTTGTCCAATTCCGTGACTATGTCGAGGTAGGCGCTGGCAAGGTTGAGGGCGGAGAGGAGGGCTTGAGTACTTGCAGAAAGAAATGGTACGTAATCCGTACCTCGGCATCTCCTACCGCTGTCCGTTGGTCGGGGGCTCCAGCCCCACAGGATCAGTGATGCAGAAACAGGATCTGACTTTTCAGCCCAAAGAGTATGTGATAGCAAGAGAGCGGGCGCACTTTATCATGAGTAGCAACCACCTGTCTTGTATTGAGCATATAGTATGTTCCAAGTGCTTTATATACCAGATTTAACCCTCCCAACAACTCTTATGAAGTAGCACTATCAATTTACACAGGAAGAATAGATGCCTGGAGAGATTATGTGTTTTAGACATATTTATAAATGGTGAAGCTAGGATTTCACACGCACAACTTCACAACCCAGCCACGTGAGACTCCTGAACCTGAGCTGTTAACCACAGGGATAAACTGTCTCTGCGCCCACTGATTTATGACAGATACTTGTCGAATTGCTGGCTGACTCTAAGCAGCCCACGCACATCTACGACCTCAGGGGAGCTCCAGCCTTTATCCAGAGGGCTAGTTTCAGGTCACTGCAGAATATGACAACACACTCTGTTAGCCAGGAAAACCACAAAGTGTACGGATTAAAACACAAAAACTAGCTAAATATCTTTCAAGTCTTGGAACTTCAGAGAAGGCTCTTAAAGTTTCAGGCCCTAGTTCCTGTATTTCAGTTTTAGGGATGATACAGCCTACCTCACAAACATTGTAGAGAACATTTAGGCAGGAAATATGAAGCTCACCTCGCAACTCACATATATATATATATATATATATATATATATATATATAAAATAGACATTCAGTAAATTTAATTAATCTAGTTTCCTTTATTCCCATTCCCCGTGGGGGGTGGGGAAGTAAAGCTAAACTCTAATCCTTCATGGTCTGCTGCCTTTAAAAAAGTCAATAAAGGGGCCTCCCTGGTGGCCTAGGGGTTAAGTCTCTGCATTATCACTACTACAGCCCAAGATCGATCTCCCGCCAGGGAGTTACCCGCATATGATGCAACAGACCTCTCCTGTCTCACCCACTGCTCCCCTCAGCAGTGTGTTTTGGTGGATCTGCTTGTTCTGCTCCCCACTCTCTCTGGTGAATCCTCTCACCCGTCACACCTCTGGCCTACACCCCAGTTCTTCTATGCAAAAATAGTAAATCTTAAAAAAAAAAAAAAAGCCTACAAAAGTCAGGAAATTAAATTAAATGCCAATTTGATTATTTTATCCAGACCTAAAGTGAGTCTAAACAACCAGCCAAGCAGTCTTGAGAATGAATGTAGCTACCCAGCGCAGGATTGATTTTATGAAACTAGTAATATTTGGAAGAAACATAAAGCAGACTCTGAGAGACAGTTTAAGGAAACATTACATAATGGCTGAAGTGGAATTTGGTGGCAGTACAAAATATCATTCTGTTGAGGGAAAGGATGACCTGAACAGGTTTTATGAACCCCACCCCCACCCCAGACCAAAGAGACCCAAGACACCAAAGACTGCAAATCCCACAGTGTCACCACCACCGAAGGGAGGATTGCTGGAAACTGAGGGTGGAGTTAAGCAGTCAGGCTTGGTATATGACCAGACATGTGGGCCTTGGGGGGTCCCTTGGTTTTTCACCAGCTTTCAGCTCAGCAGAACTGGTAGCACACATTCCCCAATTTATATCTCTTTTTCCCTGAGTTATTCCTTTTTTCATTTCCCTTTTTTGTAAATAAACCCTTTATTAAACTTTTTTGTGTGTGCCTGCAGTTGAGTCTTGTTATAAGCGCGTGGGTGAGGACCCACACTCAGGCCATCCCATTTCACATTGGGGTTGCCCTGAAACAGTTGGGAAGGCTCTACAGGTATGTTAGCAGGACGCTTTAAAAGGAGCCTTTAACGTGTGTTTCTCTGGGGCAGGTTTTTCCTCCTCGGCTTTCTATCAGCCTCTCAGCCCTAGCACAGTAGTTGGAACTCAGCAACTTGAATCCACTCAATACCAGGGGAAACCCCTGACAAACGCACTGACTTGTCATGAGTTAAATAACTTTCTCCACTTTTTTTTTTAAACTTTCTCCACTTTTTTTTTTTAACTTTCTCCACTTTTGAAGTAGACATTTAAATCACTGTTCCCATTCCTCTCTGGGGATTGGTGTAACATATCTAATATAACAGTAAAGATTATGATTGTTATTTGCAAGTCTGTTTTTCACTATTGCCCCCTTTGATATTCAGAACTAATGTCCACTGCCTACTGAGCTTTTCCACTTGGCAACCCCTCAGAATTTGCGGAGATCCCCACAGTTTTCTTTTGAAGATTTTATTTATTTTTGCGTAGAAGACCTAGGGTGCAGGCCAGAGGTGCAGTGAGCATGAGAGGATTCACCAGAGACAGAGTGGGGAGAACAGGCAGATCTACTGAAATGCACTGCTAAGGGGAGCAGCGGGCGAGACAGGAGAGGTCTGCTGTGCCATATGGGCTAGCTCCCTGTCCGGGGATCGAACTCAGACCACTGTGGTGGGCCTTTGCAGTGGTAAAGCTGAGACTTAACCCCTAGGCCACCAGGGAGACCTCCCATAGTTTTCTTGCTTGTCTTGTCTTTGTGGTCGTTCCAGCAGAATTGGAGAAGAACAGTTTAGAAAATTGATTGGTCTTAACAGAAGGTACTCCAGAAGCAGATGGATTCATCTTTTGTATCCTGTCTCAAACTCATGACTGTCTGGACAGAACCCCTTCCTTTTCCACACTGTCTACTTATTCCACATGGCTTGCTCACACTTGTTCAATTGAGAGACAATAGAAGACGGGAGTTTAGGGTGTCACTGCTTCATGGAGGAGGACTGAGGAGCCCTGAAGGACAGATTTCCCAACTGGATAAGGGTTCTGGTTGTGGCTCTCAACTTCCCTGGAGCTTGAGTAGACCTGTTTGCATTTTTATGGACAAAGACACAGGATCAGGAGGTTAAATATGCCCAAGGTCACCAGCTAGCAAGGGGAATGAAGGCACAGCTGTCTGGCAGCATAAATCACTGGGCCACCTGTACCACATTACGGGAATTACTTCCTCCTTTTATTCTACCTGGATCTGTGCCCCCATATGCATCCCTCTCCAGTGGCCCCTAAGTGCCATCCTAGTCTGAGCAAGGATCGCCCCCCCCCAACCCTCACAAGAGACCTAGGTGTTAAAAATCTCCATAGGATCCATTTCTTTCCCATCCTGCTGTCATCAAAAACATCTGTGCAGAGCCTCCCTGGTGGCACAAGGGGTTAAGACACAACCTATGAAGATATCCACAGCTGCTGCAGCACAGGTTCGATCGCCAGCCAGGGAGCTACCCACATGGTGCAGCGGACCTCTCCTGACTCGCCTGCTGCTCCCCTCAGCAGTGTATTTCAGTCAGTCTGCCTGTTCTGTTCCCCGTTCTGTCTCTGGTGAATCCTCTCACCCTCCCCTGCAACTCTGGCCTGTACCCCAGTTCTTGTATGTATAAATAAATAAATCTTAAAAAAAAAACACGTCTGTGCAGCTCTTTGCAGTTTGTAGACTATTTTTGCATGATCTCTTTTACTCTTATTTAAGCTTCACGACGACTCTGAGATAGGAAAAGCAAGATCATCTCCATTTCCCTATGTGGAGACTAGGCTGAGAAATTTAATGACTTGCCCAAGGGGGGTCCTGTTAGAAAGATGTCAACCTCTGCAAACCTATCAGGCAGTAAGTTGAAACTGGAGAACCACACCCTGCCCCTCGAGCCCCAGACCTTATGCTTCTTGCCTTCGGTATGACTACTGCAACATGTGTCAGTCACGCACACCAAACTGACATGGTAGCTTCAGCTGCACACTGAGTAGCAGTGTGGGCCCACTGAGTCCTCCAGCCTCCTGGAGCAGCAGTGGGTGAGACTAGTGATGTAGGAAAATGGCTCAGGCCCAGGACCATGAGCTGGTTGACAGGATCTCTGGGAATCTAGAGGCAGGGCTAGGAATGCCCAAAGTCTGGCTCTCAGGGGAGACAACACCATTTCTTGTGGCAGTGAGAAGGGTGGAAAGCTCTGCCCCTAACCCTGCCTTCCCCTTCCTTGTGCAGAACACAGATGTGGCCTTCCGGAGTCACCAGAGATGACCCCAGCTTCCCAAGACACAAGAGCTTCCAAAAACGCAAGACTTCTCAGAAACGGGAAGGGCTGGTTAGTGGTTTTGTCCTGTTGGGACCCCAAATATCAGCTCCCAGACCCTATCTGCCCCCTTCTCTGCAACCCCAAAACACCAATCACTTGAAACATGCCCCCCAGAGCACTTTCTCCCCAGTCAGGGAATTTGGCCCAGAGGCCAGACCACCAGACTCTGGGGTGGGAGGTGTACACTGGCTACATGGGATCTAGAAAGTCTTCCCAAGGGCCTCCCTGGTGACACAATGGGTTAAGCACTGCACTATGAAGCAATCCAAAGCCTCTGCAGCACAAGTTCGATCCCCAGCCAGCCAGGGAGCAATCCACATGGCGCAGCAGACTTCTCCTGTCTGGCCCGCTGCTCCCCTCAGCAGTGTATTTCAGTCAGTCTGCCTGTTCTGCTCCCCACTCTGTCTCTGGTGAATCTTCTCACCTCCCACATCTCTGGCCTGTGCCCCAGCTCTTGTATGCATCAATAAATAAATCTTAAAAAAAAAATAGAAAGTCTTCCCAGATATTCCTGGACAGAGAGTGACTCAGCCAGCCCCTTCCCCTGCAGCTCAGCTTTCTGGACCTCATTTCTTCATCAAGCCTGCCATGAGCCAGACAGACTGCCACATGCCAGCTAGGATCTAGGATTGTCACAGCAGATTTGCCAATATCCTTCAGGGCTGTGGCTGGATCTTTTTGTTTTTATGGACTAAGTGCTTGATAGGGTACTTGAATTGCTGCCCTAAGTTAAAAGCTCCATAAATACTCTGCGTTCAGGCTTGACTGGGCTGGGAGTAGTGATTCTTCACCAGGCTGAGGAAAGGTCTTTCCTCCATTCCTGTTTTTTAAAATGTTTCTATAAAAATGAATGTTGTTTCAGTAAGTACTTTTATTGACATGCTCATAGGATTGTTATTATTTAATCAATAGACAGTCATTGTCCAAATCTCAAAGATGGAAGGGCACACGTGAACATATTTGTAACTCCAGCTCACAGTGGAGCACTGTGGGCTGGCTGGTTAGTGGTTTCCCTTGTGTGAATGTCACCCTGGAGAATTGGGGGCCACATGTGCCACACACTTTGTGAGGCTTCAAACTCCCAACATATGCACCCTAACTCCAGGGAGCAAGAAGTGGGAGAGAAGTGTGGGCTCTGTGGAGACTGAGCTCATCCCCAGCCCAAAATCCAATGACTTGGGAGCCCTGCTCCGGTCCCCCTCAGGTGCCTCCTAGTCCCTGCATCTGAGATCTGGCTCTTCTTTCTTTCATGCAGTGGCGGCAGAACCACCAGGGGGCGTTGTTCCCCTGCAATGTCCATGCTTACGCAGCCGTCCCCGTTTTTACCTGCAGGGGAGTGCAGAGAGAACCCAGCTCTCGGGCACCCCTAGCCAGCCTGGGCTGGGGCCTTCCGAGCTGTTAACAGCCAGGCGGAGGAGCAGAGTACAAAGCAGGGTGACCGCCTTTTCCCCCAGGCAGACTGAACCCGATGACATGCTATTTGGAAAACCTGTCATTTATTCCCCAGGGTGAGGTACTTCTTTTTTTTTTTTTTAGATTTATTTATTTATGCATACAAGAGCTGGGGTACAGGCCAGAGATGCAGGGGGTGAGAGGATTCACCAGAGACAGTGGGGAACAGAACAGGCAGACTGACTGAAATACACTGCTGAGGGGAGCAGCGGGCCAGACAGGAAAGGTCTGCTGCGCCGTGTGGGGTTCTCCCTGGTCGGCGGGGAATCGAACCAGCACTGCAGAGGCTGCGCACAGCTTTGCAGTGCAACACTCAACCGCTGCACCACGAGGGAGGCCCAAGAGCTTTAAATTCTTTACTACAATTCTGTTGCCCCATCCTCCATGTTTTCATTTATTCAACAAATATTTGCTGATTTCCACTCCATGCCTGGCACCGGGGAAGGAGTGGTAAACAAGCTGTCATGGGGCCTCCCTCATGGTGCAAAGGATTAAGTCTGAGCACTATCAAGCTATCGCCAGCCACCGCAGCGTGAGTTCGATCCCCGGCCAGGGAATTGACCCACATGGCCCAGCAGACCTCTCCTGTCTCACCCGCTACAACCCTCAGCAGTGTACGCCGGTCAGTCCACCTGTTCTGCTCCCCACTCTGTCTCTGGTGAATCCTCTCACCCACCACACACACCTCTGGCCTACACCCCAGTTCTTGTATGTATAAGTAAAATAGATCTTTAAAAAAAACCAAACCAGACAGACCTAGTCTCCGTCACTTAGAGAAGATAGGAGTATGATGATTGGAAGTGCAGGGTGTCACACTCGGGAAAGAACAACAGGGAGGAGCCCTGAGATCTCGAGGTTGAATAGAAGTTAAAGCTCTGGTCACATATCTAATAAGGAAGATCTGGGATTTAACCCAAACCTCTCTAAGACCCACTGTCTTAATTATAAAACATATTAAGAAATTGTATAGGGCCTGCCTGGGGGTACAGGGGGTTGGGACGCAGCCTATGAAGCTGTTCACAGCCTCTGCAGTACGAGTTCGATCCCTGGCCAGGGAGCTACCCACATGGTGCAGCAGACCTCTCCTGACTCGCCCTCTGCTCCCCTCAGCAGTGTATTTCAGCAGATCTGCCTGTTCTGTTCCCCACTCTGTCTCTGGTGAGTCCTCTCACCCTCCACACCTCTGGCCTCTACTCCAGCCCTTGTATGCATGAATGGATAAATCTTTAAAAAAAATAAAAGAAATTGTATAAAAAAAATAAAATCAGGAAGTGGGGGGGGATAGACAGGAACATCAGGAAGGGGAGCAATGTTGCCATGGTAACCCCATCGGTCCCTTTCTGCAGTCCTATCAGTTCTCCGCTGGTGATCTCTCCCCATGGCCCACACACACCAGTGGCCAGACCATTCTGTGTAATCGGAAGCCCTGTTCAGAGGACTACCGGAAGCGAGCAGGGTAAGCTGCGGTGGGCCCAAAGCTGAACAGGGGTGTGCTGCCCCAGGCCCAGGTGCTAGGACACTGTGGGGTGCCCATTACACCTCAGCCCACTCTCCCTGCAGTAGCTGGCAGCAACAGCCCCTGAACACTGCCAAGCCCAGGTACCTGGAGCAGCTAGAGAACTACCTACGCAAGGAGCTCCTCCTGCTGGACCTGGGCAAGGATTCTGCCCAAGAGCTGAGGCTGCAGGTCAGAATAACTGTGGGAAGGGGAGGGGGGCGGTGGGGGGAAGCTATTCACCAGTTCTGAGCACTTCAGATACTCAGGAGACCAGCCTTGCCCAGCTCTGACTCTTTTGAGTTCCCCTTCCTCTTCAAACTTAAGAGAAACATGATGTATGACATAGCCAGTGAGCCGGCTATGTGGAACCGATCTTCTCCTGATGTTCAATATTCCTTACCCGGGCCAGGACTGGATGCTGTCTCTGCCCCTTCAGTTCTGTGCTCCTCAGCGCTCATTGGGGCTGCTGGGCATCAGCAAAGGGAGCCTGAATCTTGGCAGCTGGGCAAGCAAGGGTCACAGAGTACCCACAATCCAAGGGACAATAGCCCCAAGCTTGGACAATTATCCCAGACAGAGAGAGAGATCTAGATGCAGCCTAAATTCTAGTAGATATTGAGGAAGGAGTCACTAATTCCCTGCTCAAACATGGGTGAGGAGGGGGAATCCCTGATGTTTGCTGAGTACCTGTGTGCCAGGACTTGGATGGGCCTTACACACCATCTCACAGCTGCTGGTACCTCCCCCACCAGGAATAGAAGCTCAGAGAGGGCCAAGGGCAATGAGGGTTGAGCTGGGACTCAAACTGTCAGGGCTGGTTCTGGGTCTGTACTCATCCCAGGACACGGTGCTGCCTCCCAGAACTTCCCATGTGTGCAAGTGAGACAGGAAATCACACCTCTACTTGGTAGGCAGAATGTGGAGCTAGAACCTTCACTCTCCTCCTGCTCTCACAGGGCTATAAGATGGTGAGGGGTGTTGGCGAGAGACCAGCTGAGATGCAACACATAGAAGAGACTGGCTGCCTGGAGAGCCAGAGACAGCTCGGTGCCTGCACACAGAGAGGGAGGTCCTGACCCTGGGATCTGCCAGTCCTCAGAGATGGCAGCAGAAGAAACCTCTGGGAAGCAGCTGAGAGGGATAGAACTGCCCCTCAGTTCCATGGCACTGAGGGACCCAGCTGGTGCCTGGGGCGTTCATCTGAATGTGGGTCACCTGGTAGCCACATGCTGGGACACTGAAGTCAAGCAAAGGCAAACTCAGGTCCCACTGAGGCTGGCAACTATGGGCCAGTAGCTGATGGGTTCCCTTTTCTTGCCAGCCTTACAGAGAGATCTTTGAGTTCTTCATTGAGGACTTCAAAACATACAAGCCATTGCTCTCCTCCATCAAGAATGCCTATGAGGTGATGCTGGGTAAGACTGTAGCTCCCTCACCTGGGCACTCAGCAGCAGAACTGGAGTAGCTCTACACCAGGCCTTGACGTCAAGCCCTACTCAGTCTTTCGACGTACACTGTCCTGTGATAGGTGTCCTGTGACGGGGCACTGGACCACTGCTTGCCCTTAGGACACAGGTGGGGCAGGACCTGCAGGAAATAGAGCACCTTTCCTATTGAGAGTGACACTCAAGAGGGAGGGAGTACCTCTGAGAAGTGAAGAGGCTCCCCCACCAGGGCTTAGGCAGGGCCAGGCATGGGGCAGCAGCAGGACTGAAGGCTGCAGGGGGGAAGGGCTCAGGTGAGACCCTGGTCCTCATCTGGACTCCAACCCCAGTTTATGTGCAAGCGCAGGGGGCCTTAAGCAAGGGCCGTACTGTGTGCAAGGCATGCACAGACACCTGGGGTGTGCAAGAGCCATAGCTACTCACTGACCTTGGGATCAGTGTCTCCTGGCTGTTTGTCATCCATGACCCCAGAGGAACTCTGCCACGTGTCCCTGTCTAGCCCAACAGAGGGAGAAGATTCGGACTCTGGAGCCCCTGAAGGCCAAGCTGGTCACCATGAATGAGGACTGCAACGAGAGGATCCTGGCCATGAGGGCTGAAGAGAGATACGAAATCTCCATGCTGAAGAGAGAGAAGATGAATTTGCTAAAACTCGTTGACAGAAAAAATGAGGAGAAGATGGCACTACAGAGTGAGGTAAATGGGAGCAGTCTGGTGACCAAACCCCTGTATTCCTGCCACCCCACCCTAGGAGGGACCTAAGGCCTTTGGCACTGAAGTGACCCCTTAACTCCCTCCACCCTTCTGCCTGGAATAACACTGAGACACCACTTCCCCCCAGACCCCTGCTGCCTCCACATTCTGGCCGCCTCCTCAGCTTAGCACTGGCTCTGTGCGCCAGAGTCCTGCTCCTCAGTGGCCCCTCTCCATGGGTGGCAGTGCTGGCACTTTGCTGGAGTCTCAAGAATGGCCAACCAGTCTCCTCCTCCTCCTTTTCCTGTTCTCAGGTCCTCATGAGGCCACGCAGCACCTGTCCCGTTCCCTGTGGTGACTGACTGCATATGAACCCCAGAGGCAACCCCTGACCACACAGCCACCTTTCCCAACAGGTGACCAAACTGAGGAAGAGCTTGGCTCAGGAGTACCTGCACTACCTCACTGAGCGCGATGCCCGCAAGATCCTCATTGCAGACCTGAATGAGTTACGATACCAGCGGGAGGACATGTCACTAGCCCAATCCCCAAGTAAGCCCCAGAGGCTTCCTTTCCCCAGGGGGCACTGGAGAGGAGTCTGGCTCTCACCACTCACCCCAATTCATTCATCTCTCCTAACATCTGCTCAGTTCTCAGCTAGCCATGACGGGAGATATGGATCTTCTGAGCTGCACTGGGGATCATAGAACCACTGTTTAAGTAGGAAACCATTGCTGGCAGCGGCAGGAGCGTAGATTCCCCAAGGGCAGGACAGGACTGGGACCCCACGCCCTGGGCTTCTCTGTTGAAGCCTGAAACTTTAAGCTGGTAGTGCTGTGGGACCGAACCAGGGGTTCCTAAGCAGGGACAGCAGAAGGACCTGGGACATGCCCCAAGGGATGCTCTAACCCTGCCCTGGGCTACAGGCCCCAGAGCCAGGGTGATGCCAGCTGCTCGGGCCCCCTGGCAGGCGTCTGGGGGGAGGACCCCACGAAGTTAACACTGGCTCTGAAGATGACTCGGCAAGACCTGACCCGCACGCAGATGGAACTCAACACCATGAAGGCTAACTTTGGAGACGTGGTGCCCAGGAGGGACTTTGAAATGCAGGAGAAGACCAATAAGGATCTGCAGGAGCAGGTGCTGGTGGGCAGGCAGGGTCAGGCGGGGTTGTGCGGTAAGTAGCAAGGACCAACCTCCTTGCCCACAGCTGGACAGCCTGAGAGCGGACTATGAAGAGGTCTGCAAGGAGCATGAGATGCTGCTGCAGCTGCATATGAGCACACTGAAGGAGCGGGATCAGTTTTATGCAGAGCTGCAGGAGATCCAGCGCACCTCCACGCCACGGCCCGACTGGACCAAATGTGAAGGTAGCTGTGGCCACTGGGGGCCCAGGGACTGTTCAAATGTGTGATCTGGACTCCAATTCTCTTTCCCCACCTGCAGAGGTGGTGACTGGAGGCACGGAGCGCTGGACCATGCTAGCGGAGGGCAAGAACAGTGACCAGCTGGTGGACGTACTCTTGGAGGAGATAGGCGAGGGGCTGCTTCGGGAGAAAGACTTCTTCTCTGGTCTGGTAGGGGAGTCCCTGGGCTGGGGGGTGGAGTTTGAGGGAAGGTTTGGGGTCAGAGTCAGAACAGCCAAGCCTGGCTGCTGAGAATCCCTGGGGTTCTGCCCTGTTTGAGGGTGGGTCCCAGAGAGGAGCTGGCACTCTTCCTTCTAGGGCTACGAGGAAAGCATCCCCCCTTTCCTTCGGTTTGAAGGCAATGTGACAAACATGAAGCCAACCAGGAAGGCTGTGGTCAACCTCATCAAGGAAATCTGGAAGGAACGTCTTAGTGAGGAGCAGGTCAGATCTCATCTGGCGTTTCGGTCCGAGGTGCTAGGGTAAGGCAAGGAAGGTCAACTGACCATGGGGCAGGTTGACCGACCAGTCTTTCCCCAGACCCTGCAGAAACAGAAATTCTCAGATTTCTTCTACAATTTCTTGGAGCGTCGCTTTGGGCCTGGTGATGCCATGGCCTGGGCCTACACTATTTTTGAAAATATCAAGCTTTTCCGCACCAATGATATCATGAGTCAGTTCTATGAGGTCTTGATGGGAAAGGTAAGAGTGGGCCTGGCCTTTCACCCTGTGTCCCCAGCATAGGCCAGCTCTGTCCCCACTCTAGGGAGCGGAAGCCAGTGATTGCTCCCCTCCCTGTAGAACCGAGAGAGTGTGTACATCAGGCAGAAGGAGATCACAGCACAGCTGCTGAAGGAGATGACGAATATTGACAGTCAGAACGAGGGAGTAATAACCATGGAGCAGTTAAGGTAAGAAGTCGGCCTGCCCATCCCAAAATCCTGCCAGCATCGCCTCTGGCCAGGAACCCAGGTATGCAGAGAAAAGGGGAGCCTGGCAGAAGGGTCACAGCCTCATTGTTGGCTACCCTTCAGAGCGCTCCTGGGGCTGGCAGGGGTGTGCAGGGAGATGGGTGGGCAGGACTTGGCCAGGCCCATGTTGGCACTCACGTCACCCCCCAGCACTGTCCTCAAGAGCACCTTCCCCTTCAAGAAGGACGAGAAAATTCAGCAGTTGATGGAGGCAGGGGACTGGCAACCCGACAGCAGCAACACAGAATTGCTCAAGTACCGCTCATTGTTTGTGGAGGTTTGTGGGGGTGTCAGAGGCGGCCCAGCCCTACCCTAACTTCTGCTGAACCCTAACCACTGTCTTGTGGCCCTTCCCAGGACGAGGAGGGCCAGAGCACACTCTTTGTGCAGAAGCTGCGGGAACAGTACTTAGATGAAAAGGATGAGTACTTACAGGAGCTGAAGCAGGAGCTGGGCCTGGAATTGTGAGTGACCTGGGGCCCTCAAGCCCACTCAGCCAGAGGCGAGACCTAGGCTGGGCCACAGGGTGGCATGGCCGGCTCCTGGGTCTCCCCTGTGCTCTGGGCACGCTGCCAGACACTACATGCTGCTCAAGTCTGGCGGTCTCGTGGGGTGTAGGGTACAGAGAGGAAGGGTCAAGCCCTTTCTTTTTCTATCCTGTGGGGCAGCCGTGAGGATGTGACCCTGTTCCGCCTCCGTGAGGCCCTAATGAACATTGATCCCAGCTTGGACAAGCAGACCCTGAACAGCTATTTGAGCGAGGCCATGCAGATCCCTGTGACAGAACTGCCAGAAGAGGGCGAGAAGGAGAAGGGCATTGTGGTCAATGTCAAGACTGCACTGGAACAGCTTCACATGGCAGACATCAGGCGCGTGGGCCCTCGAGAACAGGACCCTGCGAGCTAGGGCCCCTGAGAGTAGCCTGAGTGCTACATGCTGCTAACCCCTGACTTCTAGCATAAAACTGTTGGTCTGAATCCAGGCTGTTCTCCAGGTTATGCTGGGAGTCAAGGGGAGAAGGGGTGGCTTCTGCCCGGCGGGCCCCAGGATATACACCAAACTCAGCATATTCTGTTTGTGACATTTATTGACGCTGGGGGATGGGGAGGGCACCCAGAAGGGTATGTGGGGCCAAATGGTCCCAAGTGGCGACAGCACAGGCACTGAGGTCCGGCCACTACTGGGCAGGGAAGACAGCGTTGCCACTGAAGGCGCAAGGGATGAGGAGCTGCCGGTACTCCAGGGGCAGGTGCCGCTCCACGAGCACATGCAGGGAGACTTGGTTGGTGACCAGGCCCTGCCTGCAGCAGAGGATACAGAATCAGCGCCGCACTCCCACCCCACACCGCCCTGCTTTTGCCCACTTACCGTCTCATCAGCAGCTCCAGGTCCTCTGGCCTCACAGTCTTGCGGCCAGCATGAGCAGCAAATACCTCCAGGTCATCACAGAGATGCTCGAAATACTTGTCCAGACTGCCGACAAGGCAGGTAGAACAGTCTGAACTATCTGCTCATGATCTTGGTAGCTCCTCTCCCCACCCCAAGTACCAGGACTCACCATTTCTCCACCATCTCAAAAGCCTTCTTCTCCATGGGCATCTTAGCATAGAAGCTAAAGAGTTTTGCATAGTGGCTCAACCCAGTCTTGTGGGGATCTTTGCGGATCCTGGGGACGCGGGCTCTGGGAGGAAGCTTGGCTGACAGAGGTTTCTGAGGCTCTGAAGATGAACTGGTGCAGGAGTGGACAGTTAGCTGAAATGCAGCCTTAAGAGACCCCTAATCAAAGACACTGGCTCCTGCCAATACTGGGGCACACATGCTACTTGGCCAGCCTAACAGCTCTGACCACCTGCTGGGGGGAAGCCGGGATGGGGGTCTTTCCCTAGGGCCCTGGTTCTTCATGTGAGACTACAGGCCTGGTCTAAGCTCATCATACAAACTGGTACATGCTCACACCCATGACACTCAGGCATTGGCACGGACATGCCCTCCCCTCCACCCATCGCTTCCTGTCACATTCTAGTATCTTCCTTCAGGAAGCCTTCTCAGAGCACACATTAATCCAGGCATATCCCCTTACCCAGGCTCCTCTAAGCCCTTGGAAGCAGGTATCTGGGACGACAAATGTGCTCTCAATGAGACCCACCTAGCCTAGCTCCACTGAGAAATCACCTGTACATGCTTTGAAGGGGCAAAACGCTGTGGTGCGTGATACAACCGCAGTGCCTGCCCCTCCCCAAGAGGCCCATGAGGAACAAAATTGTGAGATCTTACACTGCAGGGCTAGGCGGTGCGGCTTGCTCAAGAAGCTGACATTGTCTGGTCTGAAGAAACTCGGGGATGATACCGGAGACCAACTCTGGACTCGCTGCAGAAGAAGGTCAGAGTTCACTAGAGAGCTCAGGCCTGACCATCTGACCCAACCCTACGAGCTCACAGCTTCTTTGTCCTGTTCCTTGAGGGCCCCCACCAAGCTCTCGCTAACCCAGCCCAGTGAGAGACCCCTGAGACTCCTCATTGCTCAACAGGCCCTGTGCCAAGAGACACAACTGAGAAAAGCCCCTCCTCCAAGGCCAGACACTGAACACAGCTATCCTTCATTCACTCCCCAGGTCCTTCCCCCAGCCCTGCGCTGGGTCCCTTACCTGTCCGGCCAGTGGTGTCCTCCTTCCCTGGGCATTCTTCTGGCACTTTGGCCTCAACAGCCCCCCAGGATCCCTCCAGTTCTGTCATATCTGTGTCTCCCTCATGTTCTTCTGCCCCAGGAGATTCTTGTGCTACTGTGGCCTCCTTCACTTTGCTCAGGCTTAAGCCTTCTCCCATCCTTTCTTCTGCCTCCTTACCAACTCCATCCTGTAAAGGCTCTACTCCATCTTCATCAGAGACACTACTGCTGGTATTTGGGAAGTTCACAGCAAGGGCATCAGCCTCCTCTGCCTTTCCTGCCAGAAGCTGGGCTGAATCAAAGGAGAAAATTTAAGCTTGAGAAGTAGTAGTCCGAGGCTGTAGCTCTGGAAAGGGAAGATGAAGTCGTCAAACTCAGTCTCATCCATTGAGCAGAGAAGACCAGAGTCAGTGCCAGGGTACTTGTGTGGGGCCTCTTACTGATTCTGAAGTTTGACGGAGAAGGAACCAATAGTGAGGAAGTTCTGGGATTACACACATATGGGCTTAAAAAGGGCAAAACCAGGGCCTCCCTGGTGGCGCAAGGGGTTAAGCACCGCACTATAAAGCAATCCACAGCTTCTGCAGCATGAGTTCAATCCCGGGCCGGCCAGGAAGAAACCCATATGGCAAGGCAGACCTCTCCTGTCTCACCCGCTGCTCCCCTCAGCAGTGTATTTCAGTCAATCTGCCTGTTCTGTTCCCTGCTCTATCTCTGGTGGATCCTCTCACCCCCCCACATGTCTGGCCTATAATCCAGCTCTTGTATGCATAAATAAATCTTAAAAAAAAGAGGGCAAAACCAGGAGTCTCCTGAGTGGCGCAGGGGTTAAAGTCTCAGTGCTATCAAGCTATCACCAGCCAGGTTCGATCCCCAGCCAGCCAGGGAGCAACCCACATGGTGCAGCAGACCTCTCCTGTCCCGCCTGCTGCTCTCAGTGTATTTCAGTAGTTCTGTCTGTTCTGCTCTGGTGAATCCGCTCACACACACACACTCCTGCACCTCTGGCCTACACCCCAGTTCTTGCATGTATAAATAAATCTTAAAGAAAAAAAAAAGAGGGCAAACCACCAGTGCCAACTCTCGTCCCAGTGAGGCTTGGCTCCAGGTCACCTGCCCCACATACTCACTGTTGTTCTGCAGCCCAGGCCTGCTGCATGATGTTCCGGGACTAACGGGCTTCTCATCATCTTTAGCTCCCATGTGAGAGGGGCACGGCAAGGAGTGGGGCACTCTGGGGGAAAGGCCAACCAAAGGCTGGGAGAAGGGCTGGGTGTCCTCCAATACCATGTCCGTTGGCAGGGCAGCAACAGCAACAGGAGTTCTGAGGCTGTCACCTAGAGGTCAAGGGCCAGTTGGAACTCTGTATCCCTGCTGGTACCCTGTCACTAGGCCCTGGGTATTAGAACCCATGAGTCCCCTCCACAAGTGGAAAGACACCACCTAACACTTTAAGCCTTATCTCCCTTCCACAGCTCTTTGCTTCTGCTCCTGCTCCCTAGCCTGCTTCTGAGCATTCCCAGGTTCCACAGCTTGCCCCATCCAAACCACTCACCTGTGCCTTTTTTCCACTTCTCACTCTCCTCTCCTCCTTGAAACCCTTCCTTTACTCTGGTGAACCTGACTTATCTTCTGGAATCAGGCTCTCTGATTCCAGCTCTGCCAGGAAAGCTAGTCTCTTTCAACCTCCCAAAAATCTAATCATCACACCATTCACTTCTCCTACCCTCAGCCCTATATCTCCTCAAGGGTATGGGGTTCTAAAAGACACTGAAACTAAGACTGGGTTCTACCCAGACAAGGGACAACCTGTGGAAAGAACTCCTCACAGACCTACAGACCAGACCTATTCATTGCCCTTGACTCCATACACTGAGCAATGGGGACACAGCTTTCTTCACAGGCCAGAAGAGGAAAATCTTAACCTTACCTGAAGGAGCCAAGGCGAAGGAAGTATCTCTCAGATCCTGCAAAAATGCACCCACATCTACAGCTCGACGGGTGAGAGGTCTGCGGGCCAAACCAGGCCTCTGTACTGACTGCGGCTGGAGAGGTATGGCAAAGGTCAGGTTGAGGGAGCTGGTGGGAGGAGAAAGCACAATGGAAGTCAGGTGCCTAAGACCCTGTCCTCCAACCTTCCTAGAGTTCCCCCACCGGCCCCGGGGTTCTCATCTCTTATAACACAGCCATCATGCTGCCAGGTTATAACTGACTATATGACCAGATTCCATCCCAGTCAGCACCTTCGCTCCATCAACCCCTAGAATAGGCAACAGTACCTGGTGAGGGAGGAGGCATTTGCATTCCCACGAGGCTCTGCAAGAGGGTGCAAAAAAAAGAAACCATGATGAATTACCCAGGCCCAGAAGAACCTTCCCTCTGGTCTTCTCTTTCTCTTCAGAGGACAGGTGAAGGGGATCCCAGAATTTATATAGAACTTCACCTTGGGAGAGAGGCATTTCCTGGTCCATTCCCTGTTGAAACACTGATAATCTCAGTCTCTGCTTCTTCCTGCCAGGAGCTAGCAGACCTGGAGCTAGGACTGTGGTGGGCTCAAGCTCAGGAAGTTGCAGTTCCAGGCTACAAGGATAGAGCTGATCTCAGATAGGCCAGGAATTTCTGGATTTGGGGACTCCCAAGAGGATCTCTGATAAGAGCTGCCCAACAACCCAGCCCAAAGAGGGAATTTACTCTGTACCTGTCCCGACTACTTTCTAGTCTTGAGGGCTGAACAATCTGTGGTGCTGGAACTGGCTTCACCTTTGGTTCTGGTATCACAATGGAAGATTCTGGGGCTGCAGAAATAGCAAGGAGAGGGTGAGGCTGGCAGGGAGACTGCCCCAAATGAGGGATACTATGACTGGTGGTATCCCTCATTCTGAGCATCAGACCAGGGCTCACTTACCTGTCAGCAGGATGTTCTTCAGGAGAGTTCGTGGTGTCTGCTCCTCCAGGTGCTCACTGGCTTGAGTACGTGTCAATCTGCCAGTAGACTTTGGGTAAAAGCATCAAGCAATCAGTGTGCTGTTTTGCCTTGAGATTCCCTCAAGGTGGGTTCCAGAGCAAGATTAGACCATATGGCCAAAAGGCAGCGAGATCCCTTTAACAGTCATTGGGCTGGACACTTACCCTGGTTCTCCGGGAACTCTGCCTGGCAGTCATCTTTGTTTGGCTGCTCCACCTCCTGAAGGAGGGTGTTTCAGGTGGAGCTCCATGGGCACTGTGTAAACACAAGTGCCTTTGAGAATTATGTAGAAAGGGGAAACTAGAGGATGCAGAGGAGTCCCTTCATCAAGGATCTTGTCCTGAAGTCTTTTTACTATAGGATCAGAAACTACTTGCCACTCCCATAGTCCCTCATCCCAGATCTATGCTGCAGATGAAGGAAGACCAAGGAATACAGGAAAAGAGAGGGAATATGATGACCCAACCAGAGAAAGGAGCTGAAGAAGGCTGACTTTGGCAGCGGTGACTTTAAGGTTAGTCTCACAAACAAGAAGAGCGACTGGAAGAGTACCATTCCCAACTTTAGAACAACAATCTAGAAGGATCTTTAAGTATTTCTAAATCTTTGTTTTTAAAGATTTTATTTTTATTTATACAAGAACTGGGGTATAGGCCAGAAGTGCGGGAGGGTGAGAGGATTCACCAGAGATAGAGTGGGGAGCAGAACAGGCAGACACCAAAAGCACTGCTGAGGGGAGCAGTGGGTGAGACAGGAGAGGTCTGCCATGCCATGTGGGATTCTCCCTGGCTGGCCGGGAATCTAACAGGCGCTGCAGAGGCTGCGGACAGCCTCATAGTGCGGAGCTCAACATGCTGTGCCACCGGGGAGGCCCAAGTATTTCTAAATCTTTTAAGTATCCACCAGAGCCTGACAGCAATCTCCACAAGGTTCACCCCAGTCCTAGACTCTTGAGTCCGATACCTCTTAGATTCCAGAACTACATAAATGTTCCCAGGGCACAGCTACCACCTCATCACTTCTAGGTCTACAAGCATAGTGAGGGGCCTCCCTGGTGGCACAAGGGGTTAAGACTCAGCGGCATGAAGCTATAGGAAGTCACTGCAGCATGAGTTCGATTCCCCAGCCAGGGAGCTGACCGACTATGGCACAGGAGACCTCTTCTGTCTCGCTGGCTGCTCCCCTCAGCAGTGTATTTCAGTAGATCCACCTGTTCTGTTCCCAAGTCTGTTTCTGGTGAATCCTCCCCCTCTCTCTCTCTCTCTCTCTCTCTCTCTCTCTCTCTCTCTCACACACACACACACACACACACACACACACGCACCTCTGGCCTACACTCCAGCTCTTGTATGCATAAATAAATCTTAAAAAAAAAAAAAAAGTATAGTGAATGGCTGCCCACTAGTATAAAAGAACTATACAGCCCCATTCCGGCAGATGCCAGCTTCCACAGCCTCTGCACGATGAGCTCATCACAGTCCTCACCCACTGACACGCCAAATTAATTCCCTGCTTCCAGCAAAGCATATTTCCAAGTCCCTGCCTCGCAACTTCTTCCCAGGCTGTGCTCTCCAGCTGGGAGCTACAGAAGGTGCCACTGCAGGGCAAGGTGGGACCACCAAGGAGGTGTTTGGCAGAAGACACCTGGACACACTCTGGTTTGGGGACAAAGGGACCGGTTCCTGAGCGCCAAGTTTTCACCTCTAGTCTCTTCACCCAAGAGTCTTAGCATCCCGGTACCGAGTGAGGACACAGAGGGCCGACCCGAGCACGGCTAGACTACTGGAACTAGCTCGCGGGGCCCTGGGGTCTGCGCCTCTCCAGGCCTGTCTCCCTTTCCAAACAGCGCCGGCGACGGACGTGGGAGCGGGAACACCGCCCCCCCCGCCCCCCGCCCCAGTTCCTCACATACCGAGCCCGAGCACTCCGGCGTCGCCGCGGGGTGCGTGGGTCCGCTGTATCCAGCACGTGGCGCAGCAGGGTGCGCGTAGTGGGCTCGCTGTCAGAGCCGTAGCTGTCCGCCATGGCCTCGGCTGCCCGTCCACTCAACCGCTTGGGTAGCTCCGGCCCTCCGCCTTCCCGCCGTCGCGTTTGAGCAACTCTCGCGAGACGGCCGCACAGCCCCACGGGAATTGTAGTTCTAGCCCCCCCCCCCCCCCCCGCCGCGCAGGGAGATCGCGTCCTGCAGTGCTGTGGTAGTTGCTACCTGGCTTTGGAGGCATCCTTACGTGGGGGGGAGCCCGAACAAATTTGGGCAGCTAATGGAAGCCTTAATTGCCTCACGTGTTAAGTTGAGGACGACACCCACATTCAATGAGATAATGCCCAGCTGACAGCCTGACACATCGTAAGCCAAAACATCAATAAAATAAGAGTCACCATTATTAGAATGGCTTTCATTTCCATCTGCCTCTCTGAAGATGAGACACACAGGCAGGAAAACATAATTTTATCCTCTGTGTGACCTACTCAGGTTTGCCATTTGCAAAGACCGCTCTGTCTGTAGGGTCTATATCTCTCAGAATAGACCAGTTTACAGGTTCAGAAGCTAGTGGGCAGAAAACTTAAGACCTCTAAACATTGCAGATGAATTCTGGCTCTTAAAAGTTCTTTTTTTTTTTTTTAAGATTTATTTATTTATACAAGAACGGGGGTACAGTCAGAGGTGCGAGAGGGTGAGAGAATTCACCAGAGACGAGCGGGGAGCGGAACAGGCAGATGGACCCAAGACACTGCTGAGGGGAGCAGCAGGCGAGGCAGAAGAGGTTTGCACGCCATGTGGGTTTCTCCCTAGCCGTCCAGGAATTGAACCCGCGCTGCAGAGGCTCCAGACAGCTTCACAACATGGTGCTCAACCCGCTGCGCCACCAGGGAGGCACTGACTCTTAAAGGTTCTATTAATGCTGGAGACTGCATTATATTTTTCATTTTTCCCAGCCCCCCCCCCATATGTTTTCAGCGGCACAGAATTAGAACTTGGGTCCTTTTGCCAGAATCTGCTCCTAGATGGGGTGTAAAGAATCAGAAACTCAAACAGGCATGGGCATATTTATGCTTGTGCTTAAAAATAGAGCAAAGAAAAAGTTGGACCTTGTTTCTGAAAATAAGAAAACTGCAGAAGAAAAGCCCATCAGCCTCCCCGGTGGCACAGCAGTTGAGCGCTGGGTTGCGAAGCTGCCCGCAGCCTCTGCAACACCGGTTCGATCCCCGGCTGCTCCACGGCCACCAGAGAGGGTCCCACATGGCGCACAGACGGTACCCAGTGCTTGTATAAATAAATAAATAAAATCTTTAAAAAAAAAAAAAAAAAAAGAAAAGCCCATCAATATTCCTTTTCATATAGATCTGACCTCCGTGTAATTTATCTTGTTAGCCCTTTGCAGGCACATTTCCATGGTCACTATCCACATACTGCACTGTGTTTTATTTATTTGTAAAGTGTTGGGCTGCAAAACATGGAGAAAACATAAAAATCCTTTCAAAAACTGAGACATGAGCTTACTTGTTCACAGTGTTATTTTGTATTTGCATAGAATAGTTGGTTAAAGTAGATACTTAACTATTTTCAGACAAAGCACAGGGCTCATAAGAGACCATGTGGGATCACGCAGGGCGTGGAAGAGTTTGGGCGCATTACTCTAAATGTAATAAAAGACCACTGAAGAGACTTAAGCAGAGGTGTTATATAATCATATTTTCCTTGGCAATCATGTGTAGAACAGATATATGGAGGCCAGATTGGGTGTAGGGAGACATGTGATAAGGTTCTTGCCTTTCACCCAAGGTAAAGATAAAGGGTGGGCAAGACAATGGCGCCTGGGAGAAAGTGAGGTATTCCAATTTTTTTTTAAAGATTTATTTATTTATGCATACAAGAGCTGGGGTGTAGGCCAGAGGTGCAGAGAGGTGAGAAGATTCATCAAAGACAGAGTGGGGAGCAGAACAGGCAGATGTACTGAAATATACTACTGAGGGGAACTGTGGGCGAGGCAGGAGAGGTCTGTGGTTCCATGTGGGTTAGCTCCCAGGGAGGGGATTGAACCGGAGCTACAGTGGCTGCCAATAGCATCAAAGTGCTGAGACTTAATCCCTGCACCACTAAGGAGGCTCCAAGTAAAGTAAATCTTAAGACAGGTAGTAGTAGACACATACCAGTAATTGCATAACAATGAAAATTATATAAAAGATACAATGATCTTTTGCAGAATTTTATTTCTACTGCACACATTTTATAAAAATTTAAACATTTAACAAAATGTTATTGTATAAATAAAATGTCATTGTATAAATGATTCACCAAATGAATGCACATCATTCACCATGGGCTATACACACTAGAGAATGCATTTCTGAATTTGAAGAGATTCAAGTTGTGGACCTCAGCTGCACAGGCAAGCAGAAGTAAAACTTTTCCTGTTATAACTCTCTGAACCCCACACAAATAAGGATCACATTGGTTATAAACAGAAATACAGTGGTAGTGTCTGGATATTAAGACCAGAAAAAGAGTTCTTTTTTTTTTTTTTCTTTCTTTCTTTCTTTTAGTTCACCTCGTGGTTGTTTTTCTAAAATATTTTAAGTATGGGTCTCTTTTAAATAAAAAACAAACTAAAAAAAGTAACAGTTAACTTGGAGTCTAATTTCTTTTGCAAGCTTTTAAATACCCTGGTCCATTTTGTTTTTATAGGAAATAATTAGAAATAATAAATACTAGGCTTCAATTTCATACCTGTAGCCAGTGATCTGGATCTGGAAAGAATAAAAGGGAAGAGGGAAAGTCAGGAAAAAGGATGAAGTGGAAGGAAGAAATGGGAGAAAGGGGAAACTGAGCAAAGGAGGCTTAGCTTGCAAGTAATTCCCCTGGAGCAAGTGGAGGGAAAGGAGAGGGTTTCTGTTAACCCTCCTCTCACTTAAGGTTCTTCAAACAGCTTCCAATTGCCTGCAGAGCAAAATCGCATTTATTTTAACTGGGGTCAGCTTGGTATCCCTCAGAAATCCCACTACCCAGGCCTCCCCTTCCAGGCTCTTGCTAGCTCTTTCTGTCTTAGCTTGGTTCCAAGACAAGAATGGCTACTTCTCCCTACCCAAGCTTTTTTTTTTTTTTTTTTAAGATTTATTTATTTATGCATACAAGAACTGGGGTACAGGCCAGAGGTGCGGGAGGCGCGTGGGGCGGGGGGGGGGGGGGGGGGAGGATTCACCAGACATTGCGGGAAGCAAAACAGGCATACTGACTGAAATACACTGCTGAGGGGAACAGCAGGCGAGACAGGAGAGGTCTGATGTGCCATGTGGGTCAGTGCCCTGGCTGGGGATCAAACTCGTGCTGCAGTGACTGGCAGTAGCTTGATAGTGCTGTGCCTTTAACCCCTGCGCCACCAGGGAGGCCCTAACCCAGTCTTTTTTTGCCATTTTTTTTTTTTTTTTGTTCTTCTCAGGCCTCTCCCTTCCATTTTCTCATTGGAGGGTTTATATCTATTCGTGTGCATTCACATCTACTGTTCCAAAGACTAACTCTTGTCCCTGTACAGTCAGTCAGGCTCCAGGAGAGAGGTTGGCTAGGTCTGGCTTCAGCAAGATTCCAAACTCCCTGCGCCCCTCCCGGCACACAGCAGAGGTGCCTGCTGGTGACTAAGTTCAGGTCAATAAATGAGTCAACGCAAGTAGCTGCTGAGTCAGGAGAGAGTCGCCAACAGACAGCAAAGGGCTCCTAAGGTCCTTCGGGGTACTGAGGTTCAGCTCCTCCATCCCACCTTCGCAGAACGCAGTCGCCTGGGCGCCGCTCGGGGCCGGGGTACCGCTTCCGGCAAGCGGCAAAACCTCGCCCGGATCCCGGCCCGCAGTAACGCGGCCATTCCCTTAGGCGGCGCTAAAAGCCAGAGCCGCGGAGCCCGCCGCGAGGCATGATGGGACTTGCAGTTTCCGCGAGCACCTCGGCGCTTGCGCACTGGAGAGGCGCGCCCGCCACTCCCCAGGATTCTGGGCGCCTGTGGAGGGCGGCCCAGGCGACGGCGTTCCAGCCGAATACTCCTCTCTAATCCACAACGAATGAGCCGGGTGGGCGTAAGAATCAGTTTTGCGTAGACCGTCACGGTGCCCTTTAAAGTGGCCGGAATAAGCACGCCCCTGCTCCGGAAGTGAGCGGCTTCTGGCGCGGTGCATTGTGGGGGGCGTAGTCCTCCTTCCCAGGCGGTCCTTGGCGGCGTCCCCCGGGCCGACTCCCGAGCGCAGGCGGGCGGCCGGGCGGTGGTGCGGCGCGGGCTGGTGGGAAGCGTATTCTGGGCACGGGGCGCCGGACCAGGCCGGCAGTGCTGGGCAGCAGGAGTGGGAGGCCGCCCAAGGCCTCGCGCGGCGCCGCCCGTCGAGGGGCGGGCGGCGGCTGACCGACCGGGCCGTCGAAGGGCTCAGGAGGCCGGTGGGCCGTGCCGGGCCGCGCGTCGCAGCCATGCCTGGCTTCACATGCTGCGTGCCGGGCTGCTACAACAACTCGCATCGGGACAAGGCACTGCACTTCTACACGTTCCCCAAGGACGCTGAGCTGCGGCGCCTCTGGCTCAAGAACGTGTCCCGTGCTGGCGTCAGTGGGTGCTTCTCCACTTTCCAGCCCACCACGGGTCACCGTCTCTGCAGCGTCCACTTCCAGGGCGGCCGCAAGACCTACACGGTGCGCGTCCCCACCATCTTCCCACTGCGTGGCGTCAACGAGCGCAAAGTAGCGCGCAGACCCGCGGGGGCCGCAGCCGCTCGCCGCAGGCAACAGCAGCAGCAACAGCAGCAGCAGCAGCAGCAGCAGCAGCAGCAGGCTTCGCCGGCAGCTTCCACTGCCCAGACTGCCCAGCTGCAGCCGAACCTGGTGTCTGCCTCTGCGGCGGTGCTCCTCACCCTTCAGGCCGCGGTTGACAGCAGCCAGGCGCCAGGATCCGTGCCTCCGGCACCCACCACTCCCACTGGAGAAGACGTGAAGCCCATCGACCTGACGGTGCAGGTGGAGTTCGCGGCCGCAGAGGGCGCAGCCGCGGCCGCCGCTTCGGAATTGGAGGCTGCTACCGCCGGGCTGGAGGCCGCCGAGTGCCCTATGGGCCCCCAGTTGGTGGTGGTGGGGGAAGAGGGCTTCCCTGATACTGGCTCCGACCACTCATACTCCTTGTCGTCAGGCACCACGGAGGAGGAGCTCCTGCGCAAGCTGAACGAGCAGCGGGACATCCTGGCGCTGATGGAGGTGAAGATGAAGGAGATGAAGGGCAGCATCCGCCACCTTCGTCTCACTGAGGCCAAGCTACGCGAAGAACTCCGCGAGAAGGATAGGCTGCTGGCCATGGCTGTTATCCGCAAGAAGCACGGAATGTGAATGGGTGGTCCCCGTGGTTGCGGGACTCTCCCACGCTTTTCAGCCTAGGGCAACTCCCGCCTCTGCGATTGAACTCCCCTCTATTCCTGGGGCACTGGTTGACAGTACTGAGGCTTAGGGCAGCTGGATTCTTTTGCTGGTGACCTGGCACCCTCTCTCGTTTCCTCTTGAAGCAGAGGTCTGGGACCTCGGACTCTGCACTGGTGACACCAGCAATTATGACTTTGTCTACCCCCTTCCCACCCTCATCTCCAGTTTATGTTGCAGATTCTGGTAAAGCAGAGGCCTCAGATCCTCTGAACTTGAAATTTCCCCTGTGGGATGCCCAAAGACTATGGGTTTGGGAGGATAACACCTTGAGGTTGGCCAGCAATCAGAAACAAACTCTTTCGTGTGTAGTAATGAGCTCCAAGTGATATCAGTTCTCCTCCTTTTCATGCTTTTCCTTCCTAGGTGCAGCCTGTGATTCTGATGGGGACTGACAGGTCTGTGACTCTGCCACCTAGGACCTCCCTCCCTAGGAAGCCGTCTATGACGGCATATAGGTGACATGCTGACGAAAATCCAGCTTGCCAGAGACTTAGGTTTATCCTGTTATGTTTGCTACTGGTTACAAATTCTATTTTCTGTACAACTAGTCAGACTAAAGTTTTCACTGTGTTTGTTTGACAAAACGAATTAAACAGAAAGTAAGGTTTTTATTTGGGTTTCGCCATTTTATTTTTATAAAAATTCGGCTAAGTGTCCATGCAGGTGGAGAAATAGGCCTTGGCCTCAGGTCTCAAGGATTAGTTTGACCCTGCCTCAATGCCTAGATTTCTCCAGAAAATGACCATAAACAACATCAGCTCTGACCTCTTAAGGTCCTCACTGGCCAGATCAACTCAAGAGTTTGGAAATGGCACTAAATGGTCTGTTTGTCCATGGGCTATCTACCTGTATCCTTTCAACAGGGAAAAGAAGCAACTGAGAACGAGACTAAATTGTGACAGCCCTTTTCTCTTTGAGTTTTTAATTTGTTCTTGAATTTTTTAGCTGTGGTTGAATTTTGCTAATTATATAGCCCTAAGGTCCAGGACAGTGTTGGGGGGCACACATGGGCAAGTGCTTAAATCAGTAAAGACTTGAGCCATGGCTCCTGCAGTTACAAAGACTCTTTCACCAGATACTTTTGGCACTTTCAGTGTCAAGCATCTGAGTCCACAGAGAGCTTTAAGGAGTAGATGTTGGAATTCGTGACAACCTTAGCTCATTTCTTGACTGCATTATTTTTTTTTTTTTGAAGATTTATTTATGCATACAAGAACTGGGTACAGGCCAGAGGTGCGGGGGAGGGGGGGTAAGATGATTCACCAGTAACAGAGTGGGGAACAGAACAGGCAGACTGACTGAAATACACTGCTGAGGGGAGCAGAGGGCGAGACAGAAGTCTGCTGCGCCATGTGGGTTGCTCCCGGCTGGGGATCAAATTGGTGCTGCAAAGGCTGCGGATAACTTCACAGTGCTGTGCTTAACCCCTTGCGCCACCAGGGAGGGCCTGTATTATCTTTTAGTTTGGATATTTTAGGGATGAGGGTGACATTTTTATTTATAGCTCCCAGAAATTTAACTCACAGCTGATGGGGAGAGGCAAATGCCTTTAAAGCTATCCTTGTGACTATAGGGTCACAGTGCAAATGGACGCTTCCTGGGCTTATAAATTATCTCTTCCTCCTCTGTCACTTAAGGAATTAGTTTGGGGACTTCCCCGGGGGCAGCAAGCTGAAATGGCTCTAAAACTTTCCCCTTGTCTCTGCTTCCCTCCTGATCTCTTGGCACTAAGGAACAAGGAAGAGGGGAGTGGAACACAGGTTGTGCAGGTACCTGCTTGGGAATGGGACTGGATCACTGCCTCTCTAGGCTTAGCTTTGACCAGTCAGTGGAAGCAAAACAATGTCCTTCCAGATCAGCTAGGACTAAAGGAAGCCCTTTGCTGGCAGCCATTGGCCCAGTCTTTCCCACTATTCTTTTCTGAGATTGAGGGGTTTCCTAGCCAGGCCATGCTCATTAGTTTATCCTTTAGCTCCCATTTGTTGAAAGAACTTGAACTGTTTTTGCTTTGGCTCACTTGAACCTCTCAGCAATGTTCTTAGGGTAGAGTGAGGATCAGGCCCTGGCCAGGATTCACCTGTTATCTGGAGGTTATGTTTGCACAGGCTACCTGTGTTTTAGCTTCTTGGAGGGCGGAGGACAGCAAAGGGTAAGGGAGACCCTAAACGCCTACATAATGAGAAGCATCCAGTCAGGCAAAGTAACACCAACCTGGCATTTAATAAAAATTTGGCCTGATCTTACAAGCCAGATCCAGTGGGGTCATAGGGGTGGTAGTTGGTGAAAAAGCAAAAACTCTTGTGGAAGAACACAAGTACTGAGAGATCTCTGGCTAGGAGGGAAGGCAAGAAGTTACCGAATGAAGCCTTTTAACTGTTTAAATTTACTTGAGTAAGTTGTATTTGCCCTAGATAGGCCTGGCAGCAAATGTTTGCGTTGCCAAGGATGAGAAATGGGCACTGAAGGGAAAGGGCAATGGATGGTGGGAGGCAGATTACTGACAACCTGGTCACTTAAATCACAGGGAAAGTTTCGGTGAACCAAAACACTGGCTGTAAAAATGCAGCTCCTAACTGCCCTGCCTGCTGTAAAAACAACAACAAAACCCCAAAACGTCAGAGAATGCTTTGGGGACCCCAGCTATGTCAGTGTTACAATAATCTCATTTTCATCTGCGCCCTACTTGAGCATGTGTGTCTCTGGCCCAAGGAAAAGCCTCACCTGCTCGGAACTTGCTTTGGGCCCGACCGGTACCCGGCAGGGCGCAGGAATGTTAGGACAGCAGAATCTGTGGGTACCGCTCTGGCTGGCCTTACAAGGTTCGGAGGAGTCAGAGGGGCGGCCAGAAATCACAGTGGGAGGGGGCTTCGCGAGCGGAAGCAGCCCCAGGGGCCCGAGGAGGGGCCGCTCGGCCACTGGGGCGAGATCCGGCTGCCAGGAGGGCGCGGTCAGTCCGGGTCGGCTGCGCGGCCTGGGCGGGGCAGGACCAGTCGAGACCTAGTGACAACTGAGCCCTGACCCTCGCCTGGCGCCAACCTCGGGTGTTCCAGAGGCTTCCGCTAGACCACAATTCTCAGGGGCTCGCCCCGACAGCCTCCCTGGCTTAGTTAGCCTCACCTCCCGCGCAGCGGGCCGTGTCTGGGCCTCGGCGCGTGGCACGCCGGGAACTGTAGTTTCCTCCTCGCTTCCTAAGCCAAAGAGGAGTGAGGTGAGACTGCATTTCCCAGGGTGCCACGGGGTGGCGAGGAAGGCAGGGGGGAAGGGACAGTCGGTCGCAGACCGCGCTGGGTTGCCGCCGCTGCTGCCGCCATCGTGCCAGCCCCTCGGGTGAGTGTCGGGGCCAGCGCTCCGGGGAGGGGGCCGGGCCGCGGGAGCCGCGCTCCGGGCCGCCTGGAGCCTCCGCCGTGGGTCCCCGGGCGGCCCCTCCCCTCCCCCCTCGGCGGCCAGAAGCCGCGCGGGGCCGGGGCCATGTGTCGCGCGCGGCTCCGCCTCCCGCCGGTCCTCTGAGGCGGCGGCCGCGGGGAACCCGAGAGACGCTGCCGCCGCCCGGCGGGGCTGCCCCTGGCCCGGGGCGGGTGCACCGGGCTGCGCCGCGGCCGGGCTCCTTCTCGGATCGGGACCACCCGGATGGCGCTCCCGGGCTCCGCCCCGTCTGGCCTAGCCGGGGCTGCCCGCGTTCCACCAGCTCCGCGGGCTGGCTGGGGCCCGCCCCGCTCGCGTTCGCTCTGCCGCCCGCCTGCACGGACCCGGGGATGGGCAGGCGCCGCCCGGACCTCTCCGGAGTCTGCACTGGGTAAGGCCGCCCGCCTTCCGCAGCCCAGGCTTAGGCTCCTCACCTGATTCTGGAGCAGCGCCCGGCTGAGATGTAGGTGAACGCTCCCTGGCTTCTCTGCCCGCGGGGAGTGTGCGAATCCTAACCCCCACTCTGTGGAACCCGTGCACGGCTTCTCTTTTCTACGTGGAGGGCTGGGTCCGGGAATCCGGAGGGGGTTCCACGCGGGGCTTTACCTCTGGCCAGCCTGGAAGGATCTGGGCCTGAGATGCGGAGGAACCGTAGGCTCAGACCCCGCCCTTCTCTATCAGTGACCAGCCCCACCTTTGGTTGGGTTGGCGGGCCCAGTTGGTGGAGGAAGGAAGGGCCGGACCTGCGGAGGTGAGGCTGGACGTGTGAGCCTGCAACACATTATCAGACTGTTGAGACATAGCCTGATCCTCCCATCCGCCCCCTCTCCGAGTCAGAGAACTGCCCTGCTGGACAGGATGACTCCTTAAGAATGGTGGTGTTAGGTGAGGTTTAACGGAGGGGAAGTAGAGTGCCAAATAAGATACTGGGCTGGAAGTGAATCGGGGGTAATACACATTTGGGAAGTGGGACTCAGATGCAGACTCTGTAGGCCCCAGAGTCAGGCGCCCCCTTGCTTGTTCACTTCCCAACAGCTGGAGCCAGGAATATGAGCTGGTTGGGCCTTGGGAAGTTGCCCTTGATGATGGCTCCGTGGGCTGCATTGAGTTCTGGGAGAAGGGGTGTATATGGTAGGAGAGGACTCCTCTTGTAGGATTTTTAAAGGTTCTTACTGAGTAAGTGATGATAAATTAAGGCACCAATCCAAAGACCACAGGACATGGGGAAGAGGGAGCTTGCCATGCCATGATTTCTCTCACCCAATGCATCTTCTTAGCTATAGTTCTTGCAGGGACAACAGAAGCAGCTCAGTCTCAGCAGACCCGGCCCCAGCAGCAAGCAGGGTGTCAGGTCTCTTAAAAGAGTTGAATTAGGCCCATGATGCAGAAAGCTGCCACCCCTGGAGTCTTTTTCGCTTGACTATTTGCCCAGGTGATGTTTTTCTGATCATTGGCCTCTTGTCTTGGAAGTTTTCCTGCAGTTCAATTGCTCTGTCATTCTCCCTGGTGAAGAAGGACAGACAAGGATCTTTCCAGATCTCCCAGACCCAGAGATCTCTCTGGATGCAACCCTAGTTCCAATCCCCAAGCTCATGGAAGTCGTGTTTCTAAAGTAGACGCAGGGTTTGTTGATGGGGGTGGGCAAGAAGGGAGGACTCCCCATGGGGCACACATAGAATCCGTGTAATGAAGTCTCTTAATGCTGGAAGCAGTTGCTTTTCAGGGTCCTCTTGTCTGATTGGTTCTTTCTAGGATACAGGTTTCAGGTGAGCTAGGCTTATGGCTATGGATTAGTTTGCACCTTCCAAGACACTAGGTAGTTTGACCACAAGAGTTTTTCTTCAAGGTCAAAAATACACTGTTCCTTCTCAACAGTTACTCAGGAGGAGAAGGAGTTTTAGGTCTCTCCCTCTCATCCCAGTCCATTTGGATGTTCTCTTTAACTTCTCTGTCTGGTGTTTGCTAGCCATTGCTAGGCGTTCTGATTCTCAGAAGTTCTTGACCTCTTTAGAACTTGGCAGCCTGTGTGGGTGTCAGAGATAAGAGGAGAACCCGAGGTTCACCAGCGTCTTTTATTCATGTGTGGCTGACGTGGGACATGGAGCCGGACATAGAGGAGTTGGGATGGGGCTGCACAAGAATGGGGGCAGGGTTGGAAGATTCCTGGGTTCCCAACCATTCCCCCGCTTTCCTCTTTTTTTTTTTTTTTTAAGATTTATTTATTTATGCACACAAGAGTTATGTGCAGGCCAGAGGTGCAGGGTGTGTGTGTGTGTGTGTGTGTGTGTGTGAGAGAGAGAGAGAGAGAGAGAGGACTCACCAGAGAGAGTGGGGAGCAGAACAGGCAGATTTACTGAAATACAATGCCGAGGGGAGCGGGGCAGCAGGGAGACAGGAGAGGTCTGCTGGCCATGTGGGTCACCTCCCTGGCCAGGGATCAAAATCATGCTGCAGTGACTTCGGATAGCTTCATAGTGCTGTAACTTAACCCCTTACGCCACCAGGGAGGAACCCCTCCTCTTTGAACCACATTACACTTTATTCTTCTGTCTTTACAGCTGGTGAGTT